TTTTTACTATTTGTTTATAAGTTGTGTACATCGTTTTACCAAAATAAGTAATCAGGAACTGTCATTTAATAGACGGCCTCTGATTGCTTATTTTGGTAAAACGATGTACACAACTTATAAACAAATAGTAAAAATCATAAAAAAATAGGCCAACTTCGTGATCAAGATTATTATCAGTTTTATTTTAAACCACCTTTGAAATTTTATGAGAAGAACCTTCAAATGCTAGATAATCTGCAAATGATATCTAGAAATTAAGCAGACAAATTTTTTATTATTAAATAAACCAGGAAAGCAAAATTTTTCAAAATTTTATATATGAAATTTAGGTGTGTCGATCATTTGATCCCATAATAAAAATTTTACATACGTGATCTGTACGACATCACGGCTGACTGGTAAACAATATTTCGATCTTTTGAAGAGGGTAAGCTAAATCGACCACTTTTTTACAAAATTTTTCTCAAAAAAAAAGTAGTGGATCAACAAGAATATGTAAGGTTTTTTTGTAAGTTTTACAGTTGTATAGGCAATTTTTTAAGGGTAGAGTATACATAGATCATTTATTATATGGGGTCTTTGCCTTGAAATTTACTTTATAACATTTTTCGATTGGGTTAATTCAGACAAAACAGACCAAAATATTGGGTTGTATTTAGATGTAAATCACATTTTAACTTATTGATTTGATAGTTTATCAATCAACTATCAAATAAATAAAGGTTAAACGTGATTCACATATAAATACAACTCGATATTTTGGTCTGTTTTGTTCAAATTAGCCCGATTGGAAAATGTTGTAAGGTGATTTTCAAGGCAAAGACCCCATATGATATGCATGACAATTTTTTTGTATAACAGATTATATAGTAAACACAAATCTAATTGGATAATTATCTGTTTTAGAAATATATTTTTACTATGTTTTTTTTGTATAACTTTGGGAAATATAAGAAATCACCAGAAACTTTATAATATATATATATTTATTTTTTAAAAATAATATAGCTACCAAAAGTTTTACTACTATAAATAGAAGGTTTAAATTGAAAATTACCAAATTTTAGTAAAATTTAGCTGTGGTTTTGAGAATTTTTACTAGTAACATATTTTACTTTATGCATAAAATCTCATTATATCACAGAGATCATATGATAAATGATCGATCTATACTCTACCTTTAAGCTTCAACTATCTCAATGAAAGTCTTTTTGACTACTACTTATTTTCAGAATAACCCTTCTAGTTTAGATGCCAAATAACTTAGGAAGTCTATCTGATATAGCAAAGACTTAACTCCAAGAAAAACTATCCAAATTACGCCTGCTCCTCGATGTATCATGTTTTCTAAACTTTGTCAACAACAACCTACACTTAAGTAATATCAGTTCCCAGAAAACCCTTCTAGTTTGGATACTAAATAACTTAGGAAGTCTACCCCCAAGCAGAAGAAGGCTTGACCCCAAGAAAAACTACTTAAAGTACGCCTGTTTCTTAGTATTTCATGTCTTCAAGCTTCATCAACAACTGTATTACTTTAAGATAAGACTGAGAAGTATCTTTATTGGACATTCCTATATTATTTTTCTGTAGTTCAGTTTGCTGTTGTTGTTAACCAGAAGATTATCAGAAAGAGTTGTCAATATCCTTTTGCATGTCATTGTTATTATTTTGGATCATATTGCTTTTTCTACCATACTTGTTTAGATGTTGTTGAAACCTGTTTATATTACTTGATTATCGTTATTAATTAGTAGTGATGTTATTTTATTTTTTAATGAAGATAAGCTAAATTGCCCACTTTTTGTATTAGAGAATAGTCTTGAAAAAAATGTTTGCTATCTTTTAACATTAGTATCAGTGTAAGTAGAGTCAGGTTAAATTTGTATTTTTTTCTTTTCTTTGCTATTGCTAGTATTGGCATTGTTGTTGTTGCCCATTTGGGTTGTTGTTGTATATTTAAAGTAAATGATGCAGTGAGGCCCAAGGGCCTTAAATTTTCTTTGTTGTTTGTTGTATAGTTATCGCTACTTTGTTTTTGCTTTATGTTTGTTGTCTGTTGTGTATGCTTTGTGTTGTATCTAGGTTCTTTTGGTAGCTGCCTATGTTTTATTTAGTTAATTAATTATAGTATTTGCATATTTTGTATTATTGTTTTTATTTTCTTACAAAATTGGGATCTACGGAAAAGAGTCATTAATAGTAAATCATAGTGTTATATATATGCTTCTAATATATATAAGAATATTAGGATTCTGTGAAAATTGGTTTAACTTTAAAGTCTACAATTATTTAAAATGTTGCATAAGCAACGCAAGACATGTTAATAGTTTATTATTTTACTGCTTTATAATAAATTTCCAACTAGTCAAGTTTAAACATTTTCACGTCTATTTGAAGCCACTTCCACCCAGTGAATAAAAAATCATCACTAGAAGGGTCCAGTGGCATTTAACCACTGAAAGCTATTATACTTCCCATTAGACCCAGGATGTTCCAGTGATTCCCACTGGACCGTTCCAGTAAACAACAATGGTTCGAAAGATATCACAGTTATTCGAGACGATATATGTATTATAAAAGTTATTTATGTACATTTTCTAACCAAAAATTTTACTATAGTAACATAGTTTATTCATTAAGTAAAGATAACTAACACAATTTTACGTAAAATTTTTAAAGCTGTACAGGAAAAGGTATTCAAAAAAGGCCTTAGACATTAACGTGTGACATTTAGACATGTAAATTTGACCAAATAATTTATTTTGGCGGAGTTTTAATATTATGGAATTATCCAACGTAGTAGGAGATCTTACATATCATAACGATAATAAAACAGCATAGTGACTGACAAGAACTTCACCACTATCAGGTGATGTAATATTTATGTCAAATGAGATTTATGTATTTATGTACAATTTGATTGATTAATTTGATTAATAATGCATATTAGGATGGTCTCTGAGAAAAGTGCTTAACCATACATCATCCTTATATAAAATGACTAAAGTATCAAATGTTTCAAAAGAAAGAATTTCCGGAAATTTCGACATATTAAACGAATTCACGGTTGAAAATATGGGCACAAATGAAAATGAACAAACCACGTCACAAAGTATCAAAAACACTTTGGATTGCGAGGATGCTCTTGAAGTTAGTTCTGCATTAATTGTATCTCAAAAAGATCACGATCCGGGTTTTTTTATCACCCCCACTTTAAACACGATTCAAAGTGATGTAGCAGAGGTGCCGCAAACAGGCCCATTTACTATGAGTGAAAATATCTGTTTTCACTTGTATCAATGTTATTTGCACTCAAAGTTTTGCGACATCGAACTTCGAGTACCTTACGTTCAAGATAATTCCATCAAAGTTCATGCAATTATTTTATCTCGCTCTCAATACTTGAAAAAATTAATCGAGACCGATGGACCTGTCATTGTAATGGAGGTTAATGACCCTAACATGAATCAAGAAGCATTGTATATTTGTATCGGCCATCTATACACGCCTCATTATAACTGTGTCACATCTTCCAATGTGCGCTATGTCTTAGCCACCGCTTATCATTTTGAGCTGAAGGATTTGTGCGACTTTGCTAGAGATTTTATAAAGAATATCCTGAATCCATACAACGTTTTAGTTATTGGACAATGGATAGAAAACAGCATTACATATGGTGAATATTCTGACGAAATTAAACATTCTATTTTCAACTATTTGGCCGTGAGCTTACCTACGGATTTAAAAGTTTTTCCGGAAAAAAGCATATATCAAATAATGAAAGATGGTATTGGAGATATTGATCCATCATTCCCTAACCCTGGATATCACAAACTTGTGGACATTTATGCACTTTTACCGTTCAACTGGTTCAAACGTGTTGTGGAATCTGATAAATTCTCTTGTCCAACTGATATCGATAGATTCCATTTTGCTCGACAAGTCATTAGCGCTCGCGCGAAAAGATATGCATCAGAAAATCGACCTAAGCAATACGAAGCGGTATTTATGTGCTTTGGTTCTGATTGTTCCGTTTTAGTAACCAATGAGAAGCCTTGATGATATTGTGGTTCCGGTAGGTGCTTTATTAATTTCATTAATTTCTGCATAGTCAAATGAAATATACTTTCTTTAATTTTATTACTTGTAATAAATATTAGACATTTTATCTTATTGTGATAATGCTTCTTGAAAAACTATAATACAAAAAAAGAGACATTTTAAGCTCAGTATCAGAATGTCATATTTTTTCATATGTTAATAGACAAAACTAGCAAAATATTATTATAGGTCTCTCTTATGAGCATATTCAATATTTTTCGTGTTTATTTTCTACATTTAATACGATTGGCATTTGTGTGTCTAAATTTATTATACTCTAATTCTCAAGTAAACTTCCAAGTCATTAAGGAAGCTGTTCGAACTTTATTACAATGATTTAACAAAACGTACCTTATTCTCATAGCCCTCTAGCTTGGGTCCATTATAGAACATGCGAAAATTACGTCATATGTTTTAGCTTTATGAGGCAACTTTTGAAAGGCTGTAAATTTTTTTGGAATATTTCATATTCTAATTGATTTACTATCATTGGGGTTGAATAACGATAATGCCATTTTTAATAAAAAGATAAACCTTTTGCAAAATATTTCACATATTGATATGGAATCATTTGGTGGTTCCATCGGTCAGATTAACCTTCGTAACTACGACATTTACTTTCTCATGTATAATTTGTATAATTTCCAGGCAGAATTAGCATCAGAATCCTAGTTACAAGTAATTAAATTCATATGGATGATGTTATTAAATATGCCTCAGTTTTTTTGCGGGGCAATGTCTGTGTTCGAGTTACGTATAATATTGATCAAGCAGAGCTACGTATTTATAAGCCAACCAACCTTAAGCTGAGCTGTTAAGATTCATATATACGTAGTCAGCAAATGTAATAATGATGATCGCTATTGCAGATTTTCTAAAAATGCTTTTTTTGTCCGTGATCTGGTATTTATTTATTATCATGTGATAACAATGTTGTTGCTGGAGGGTCGTCGGAAGGTCCTTTCGGTGGCTTCTAGTCTGGAATTCACTGGAAGCCAAATTTAATATTATCACTGAAACTTTTTCTAATGGAAAATCTCCCTGGAAGCCAAAATTGACAATACTGATTTATCAACTCATGGTATTAGGGTCGGTTTAATTGCCTTGAGTCGAGACCATTTTAGAGACCATGACACCGGGTATGAGTCTGGATTTTCGGGAAACATTAATGAAACATAGCCAGTCTTGAAAGGTATTATTATATGAATATGGTGCATGAAGCTCTATGGCAGCTTGTCTCTGACAATTTAGAGGTTGAGTTAAAATATCAATAGATTTATTTATTTATTTACACGTGTATTATTTAGTTAGAAAAAGTCATCTAGATTGAGTTTTCTTTCGCAAAACATGCCTATAGGATCTCGGATCATATTGAAATTTCAAAACCCGGTTGACCCAGATAACGTGCGTCAACCAAAATTTATGAAACAGCTGTAGATTAGTTTTATTTATTGTTGCATATATCTTTAGACTACAAATCAGACTAGCTCTCAGGCTCCGGGATGAGTTTTTAAATTTTTTATAGTTTTATGGGATTTTTTTTAATTTTAATTTTTTAATTTATAATTTTTA